CGTAGACTACCCCATGCCCTCCCACGTAGACTACCCCATGCCCTCCCACGTAGACTACCCCATGCCCTCCCACATAGAATACCCCATGTCCTCCCACATAGAATACCCCATGTCCTCCCAGACATAGACTGTTTTCCTTCCTACATAGCGAGGAAGCAACCAGCCGCGGGCAGAAAGTGGTGCAAGCGATGGAGCCCGCAGACCTGATGTCAAGTGCACTGTAGACACCTCTGCCACTGCCCCGAATCTGCCTCTACACAGCTGCCGTTCCTAAAATCATTCTGATACAGTGATCCATGTGGGAAATAAAGTGAAACATGAAGAAGGTAAAAACTCACCTAAAGGGAGATTTTCTGGAAAGGTGGACTCTATGACCATTTTCAAAGCACTCCAATGTCTCAAAAGCCCATCCTTAGGAAATATATTGATAGTGCACCCCCCCCCCAAGCTCCTGCAGCAAGTCTGCTTTGGCTCAACTTGTGGCATTCCATGAGGAATGCTCTGTTGTTCTCAAATAACTGTATCAAATTTCTCAGTAGCTCTTCTTTTCTGGTGTATTAGTTTGGTTTCGTTTTTTTGGGAGGCCAATTCTGGGGGCTGGGCCCAGGGCCTTTGCACTGAGCTACAACCCCAGCCATTTCTTGTTTTGAGGCAGGGTTTTGCTAAATCACCAAGTTGCCTGGACTGGGCTTGAACTTGCCTTAGCCAGAGGTCCAGGGTTAGTGTATTAGTGTTTTAAATCTGCCTACATGGGTCTTGTTTTTTAAGGTCTTCAATCATCTTTTAGCCTTGCTGGATTCTTAACCTCAGGAAAGTACCTCTGAGGTACTATGGAGTCTCCCTTTCTAGGGATCCTTTAAAAAAGCAAAACCCCATGTACGTGAGTGATGTGGCAACAATCCTACAGTTCCCACAGCTGTCACTGTCGACTTTACTCCAGCGGTGCGCCCACTATGCATCAGAGCTGCTCTCCCAGCTTCCCTACTGTTTGCATCTTACCCTCTCAGCTGTTTCGTCCTTCACAAGTCTGTGAATCTACAGTTTTCATCACAGAACTCTGAGCTCATCTTAGTCTGATTTTTCTGTGCAATTTACAAACGGTACAGCAAGTCAAAATCCTCCTGGGAGCAGAATCTTCAGTGCTGTCTGGCTCCAAAGGCAAGGTTTTCGCTTTAGCCTTAATGGTACTGGGGATTGAACCCAGGGCTTTTGCACTAAACTATGTACCCAGCCCCCAGCCCTTTTGTTATTTTTATTTTGTGACAGGGTCTCACTAAATTGCTATTTAAATTGCCCAGGCTGAGCTTGAAACTCTGTCCTGCCTCAGCCTCCCAGAGTTGGGATTACAGGCAGTTTAACTGGTGGCACAGAGCTGTTTTCCTCATTTCTTGGGCCTTCGATGGAAATGGTTTCCAGATCCATAAAATGGGGGTTTCTGGACAGAGTGTGCCAGGAGGAAAGCATCCTCATACACCCTCAACTCACAAAAGTTCTGGCTATTTAACATTATGATGCCTGTCAGGAAGACTGGCAGTTTCCAAGCCATGGTATTATTATTCAGGACCCTGTGGTTGTCTAGATTCCTGAGAACTGATATGATGGTGAGTCTTCCTGTTTAGGGTTTCCTGAGTTAGCAAAGTAAAAGAGACATGCCCAGTTAAGCCTGAGTTGCTGAGTAACAATAACTTTTTGTACCCTTTATAGAAGGTGTTTGTGAAAAAAACTATTAATAAAGAACTGTGAAAAAGTTCTAGGACTCAACTGTTATTTTTTCTAAGTAGCAAAATATTATTTTGGGAAAGTAAACAAGTTCCTAACTTGAATGGAAGGAACGTTGTTGGGGTGCAGGGCAGGCTCAATTTATACATGTTCAAGTAAACAAATGGCCAACTATTTTAAATGTACCTACTGTGTCCAATGATTAGGCGATCCAATTCTGATCTTCTGGGAATGGAAGCAGGCCATTTCTATTTTGCCACACACTAAATCTGCCTTAAAATGCATTTTTGAACAAAATTATAAAAAGCTTGTTTTCATCTTGGATGATAAGAGTACACTGCTGTGGAGCTGAACGACATGACACACAGCCTTCTGCAGTGCCTGGCACTCAGCAGGGTCTTGAGGAGGAGTGTCACTTTATAATAGTGGTGTGTCCCATCCTACAGCATTTTATTCTGTTTAATCCAATTTGCCTAACTTTTATGAAATAATTCTAATGATAAGAATACAGGGAGAAATGTGTGAGAGCACAGATTTCTGCCCTCAGCTCCAACATCTGCAGACTTTTAGATACAAACAGCGCAAGGCTTTCGACAGTTCACATTACTCACCCTCCTCAGGGCATAATGCACAGGCATGACTCCTCATACACTATCATGTTGGATATTTTTAAACTTTGAGTAAGTTCTATCTTTTTAACATCTGCTTATTCTACTTCATAAAAATTTTTCAAGATTTAGCCACACCCCAGATCCTAGCATCTGACAGGTAAATTCCCCTAGTTCTCGAAATTGCCATAGCTAATCTTTTGTCACTTTCTATCATATAAATTTTAGAATCTGCTTATTAAGTTCTGGAAAAAGTTCCATTAGGATATCAAATAGAAATGAGTAGAATTTGTAAACTGAATTAGGATTTTATTTACTCTGCTGGCTTTCTGGATAATAAATATCTGGCGCTTGGAAGGTTAAACTTTGTTTTTAGTTTTGTTTTTACTTTTGAAAGCAACAGTTAACTTATAAACAGCCATGTCTCCCACTTACAGCCTTAAAAATTATATCACTGAATATATAATACAGTGTAAAGACCTCTCCAGAAAAAATCCTAAAACTCTCTAAACCTGCAGTTTTATTCTAGTTGTTTATCAGAGGAAAATAATCCTAAATGTGGAAAAATCTTGTTGGATACACAAAATGTACATTGTAGCATTAATTACAATGTAAAAAAAAAAGGAACTATCTTAAATAGCACTGTCAAAGGACTACTTACGTACACTAGCATAAATATATTGATATAGTCATAAGGTATGATGTCAAAAAATAAAAAAACAAACAAACAACAAAAAACAAAAAACCAGCTCAGAAAGCTACACATAACAATGATGAAGATGCTTACATATGTTATTGTGTTGAATGATAAAATGACAATATCAATTGTACAGTTTGAATATGGATGTAGAAAGGACACTCAGGTGCACAGGCAAATCAAGTTTACTATGATGTTTATAGTACCTAGAAGTATGGTATTATAGCTGGGCATTGTGGTGCACACCTATAATCTCAGCACTTAGGAGGCTGAGGCAGGAGGATCACTGCAAGTTTGAGGCCAGCCTGGGCTACATAGTGAGTTCAAAGCCAGCCTGAACTGTATAGTGAGACCCTGTCTAAAAAAAAAGAAAAAAAAAAATGTATGGGATTACAGATTAGTTTCTTCTCACCTGCCTTATAGATAAATTATCTCATATTTCTAGAAAGTGGTTTTATTACTCTGTTAAAGAAAGATATAGGGGCCGGGGAGATGGCTCAGTAGGATAAGCGCTTGACTGGCAAACGCAAGGATCTGAGTTCAATCCCCGGTTCTGCAAAAAAAAAAAAAAAAAAAAAAAAAAAAAGAAAGAAAGATATGAAAAAAGACCCAAATTTCTAGGCTAGTAATGAAGGAGTAACAAGGGCATTGAGTGTATCCTCAGGGCTTCCCAACAGGCTGAGAGAGGGAGCTTCAGAAAGCAGAGTGTGCAAGGGGCAGGGGAGGGCTCAGCGGCGTAAGTGTCTGTCTGGCAAACATGTGGGCCTGAGTTCAGTCCCCAGTACTGCCCCCCCACCAAAAAAAAAAAAAAAAATGAGAGAGGAAAGCCAAGTGTTCACAGCCTGATACGTGGGTCTCCAGTTCTACCTAAATTCCTGATTGTTTTAGTAATCTAGAGGAAACCTCTTACATCCCATGGGGAGAGAGAGAGAGAAAAAAAAGAGTCAGTCTCTTACGAAAGAAAGAAATACTGAGGTCCAGAGCATACTGCCCCGTCAATGTCTTTAAAATTCATTAGATTCCCCCCACCCCCATTTGTTAGTTTCCTGGAGAACTGGAAGGATTTTTACCAAGAAGAACAAACCTTATTTATTTTTCAGTAGATTGTAATTTGAAGACGATTGTTTAATTTGATTCCAAGTATTGGGTGGGAGGCCCTCTGAGGATAGGTCAGGTAGTTTGGACAGGAAATTTCTCTTAATTTATAAGTAATAGAGAGAAATTTGCCTCATATTACACTGAAGGACTGATATATGTGACTAGATTAGCAGGAGAATATGGTCAGTAAAGAGTTTTAGAAAATATTTAAAGATATAGATTAGTTAGAAAATTGTTCAGAACCAAGAAGTCACTACAATAGTCCTAAAATTTCATCTAAATCATGCAAAACAAAAGGTTGCTGATTTAATTTTTTCTCTATGAAGTATAGTAAAAAGCAGGGAGCTTGTCACTTAAGACTGGGAAAACAAAACAGAGCGACAACAACAAAATACTATGTACAAGATTAGTTCTCTAGGTTGTTCTTTACCTTAAAGACATGAAAGGCTTCAAACTGAATGTTGGGACTCTTATCTCGAAGAAGGTTCATCATCAGCTTTAGGTTCTCTGGCTTGCTGATGTATTTGGTCATAACGGCGAAGTTGTGGCGGTCCAGGATTAGCTCACCCAGCAGCTACCAGACAGAAGGAAGTAAAAGCTGTCATCTGCCTCAGCAGCTGCCTTATTCCCATATATTTCACTAAAGACTAAGATATATAAGAATGATGTTGTGAAAAAATGACAGTCATTAAATACTTCTTGAAAAACAGACACAGAGCTGGGCATGGTGGTCCATGCCTGTAATTCCAGGTGAGGCAGGAGAATCACAAACTCAGCAGCTCAGTGAGACTGTCTCAGGGGGAAAAAAATTAAAAAGGGCTGTGAATGCAGCTCAGTGCAAAGGCCTTGCATTCAGTTACCAGTATCACACACACATAAAGACACACATACACACACACACACACACACACACACACACACACACACACAAACATACACAAAGGCATAAAAGCACTAATTATTATTATGGTTTTGCTAACATCAGGGCTTAAAGCATCCTTTTTCCTAGCCTGTCATTGTTAAAACTCACCAAAACATGGAATAAATTAATTTTCATCACTTAGATTAATTATCTTGTTTTCAAATAATGTATTGCCCTTTAGATATTCAGGTACGATGGGAATAACAACAGTGATTCTAAAATTATCATTTTGTTCCCAACAAATGTGCTGTAGGAGTTTACTGGAAACATAGTTTTATGTTAAAAAACTATGTGTAGCTGCCAGCAAAGTTCCTCTTTGCCCAGGATGGATCATTTATCTAACACGATCTTTTAACTACACCTTGTCCTCGACCTTTATTATAAAACCTGATTTAAAGCCAGGAAAGAAAAAATCAAAGACTCTGAAATGATATCCTAACTTTTCAAGTGCATCAAGCCTTTATGAAAAAGCAAAGCAAAATCTTTTATAGTTGCAAAACTAAAGATTCCCAAAATGTAATATTACTCCAAAACAATATTAAAGCACCCATAGTGAAAAAGTGTTGAAGATTGACCAGAAGCACCGCTGAAGCCGCTGCTGCTCTCCCTATCTCAGGGGTAATTCCTGGCCGTCAGCGGCCGGCCCGTGCAATGCACCATCACATGATTTCTCTAGAAGACCCACTTCTCTGCTGTTCTCTATTTACTGGGCTTTTTCTGAAAACCTCAGGATGCTAATACATTGCGCAGATATTTACAGAAACCCTGGAGGGGGGGAGATGGGGAGGTAGCTGTATCACAACAGAACCCAGGTGTGCACATAGGCACACGTGTGTACACATGTGCACTTCAATGTGTAGCTGCCAGCAAAGTTCCTCTTTGCCCAGGATGGATCGTTTATCTAACACGATCTTTTAACTACACACCTGAAGGCTTACTGCACTAAAATAACATCTGCCGCTGTTGGATACTAGCTGGCCATTAGTTACTGTCATGCAGACGGAATAGCCAGTGTAATGAAATGGTTCCTCTTCGTTCCCTGTACCCTCCCTGGAGTCTATAGAGGTAACTTCACACTCTTGTGGAAACTGCCTCTGTTCCTGGTTTCGAGGTCACTGCCTTTGCCAGACTTCTTACCTCTTGCCTACGTGCAAAGCATCCCACCCCCAGCTCTGCTTGATCGATGGGAGGGAGGCCCCTTCTCCTCTCACACAGAGGCTCTACCTCTCCTGCTGCTGTGCTCCTTGTTTGTTCCCACTTATACTTGTTCCATCTCATAGTGCAGTAATCTGTATACCTGCCTGAGAGCAAGGTTCCTGTCCATGCCTAGCTAGCTGTGTGAGTGTGAGTGTGAGTGTGTGTGTGTGTGTGTGTGTGTGTTGCTAGGGAGTGTCCTACCAACAGTGCTCTTCCTTTACACACAAGGTAGAAAAGCAAAGCCCATCTTTCTTACTAAGTAATATACTGTGGGTACTCTGAGAGAAAGAAATTTTGAAGACAAAATTTCACCTCAGTATACAGCAAAGCAACTACAGTCTGCTGCCTAATAGGATTTCAAAATGAAAAGCCAACTGCTGTGCCAGGCATGGTGGCACACACCTGTAATCCCAGCACTCAGGAAGCAGAGGCAGGAGGAATGCTATGTGTGTGAAGCCATCTTGAGCTACACAGTAAGACTCTGTCCCAAAAAGGTCCCAACAATAATCTGCCTCCTATAAAAAGACTCGATATTGGTCCTGTGAGATAGCTCAGCAAACTAAGTGCCTGCTTAGGCAAGCACAGCCAACCAGTGTCCAGGCATGGTGGCACGTGCCTGTAACCCCAACGATGGGGAGGTTAAAAGCAGGAGGGTCACCGTGTAGTGAGACCCTGCAACAACCAAATACATTTTAAAAAAAAGAAAGACTTGATATGATCATACTTGTCTTCATCAGAGTTCATCTAAATTCACCTGGTAATTTGTCTTTTTTTTTTTTTTAAGCAATTACCTTTACCTGGATAATATGACTTATTTTATCTCTCAAACAAGCAAATGGTTATAGCTTAGAGGAAAGTCCCTATATCAAATTCCTGGGGGCCAAGGAGGTGGAGTGCTACTCCTTAGATATGTACATGTCAAAGGGATGCCTCCCTGGCTCTAAAAGCTTCTGAGCTGTAAAGCTGGCAAGACAATTACTGAGCTTCTAAAGCTGTGATTAAAGAGCATATATATTACATATAGATATAACAAAAGGTTTTGGCACAAAATTTTTTATTTTTTGAGTACTTATCCTTAAAATTTACAAACATACATGTACATATATACAAATGATATTTGTTGACGTTACATTTATGAATTCAATTCAGATGAAGTGACTTCAGTTCTTATTTATGCAGATACCTACATATAAATTCTACCCAATTTATTCTCTGCTTAGACAATTTCACAGCTTTTCCTACACAAGTAGTTGTGTTAAATAACTTAATTAACCCTGAGCATTTTGGCCATTTGTTAGTTTATTTTAATTAATACTAATGATGACAAACTGTACAAAGCTTTAAAGTAATACTATATTAAGTATATGGAAAAATTTGCATTTTACTTAAATTTTATTTATATACCTCATAGTAGCAGCAAAACCAGACAGTGAATAAAACTTGGAGGTTTTCTGAACTTACTGTTTTAATGAAATTGATCAGGGCCAAGAATTCCACCAACCTTCTTTTGAGTTATAATCTTTCTTGCTAGTAATTAAATGCCAGACTTCTGAATAAGATAAGAAACAAATTCCTACACAAGTCACATGAGAGAAAGGAATTTCTCTGTTAATTACTTTTTATTGACACCAGGATTCCAAGGGCCTAACAACTAATACAGTCTAGAAAATTCAGAATACGATTAACAAAATCCAGCAGGTAGCAAAAACTTTGGAATCAGAAAACAGTATAGTTACTGTGGTCAAAACAACATAATACTGGCAAAACCAAACCAAACCAAAACCAGACCTGAGATCAATTGAACAGATTAGAAGATGCAGAAATAACTCCAAACACATTCAGTCACCTTGTCTTTGACAAAGGAGCCAAATACCTTCACTGGAAGAAAGATGGCTTCTTTAATAAATGGGGTTGGAAAAACTGGTTTTCCACATGCCCAAGATTAAAAATGGACCCAAATCTCTCACCATACATTGAACTAAAATTGAAGTGGACCAAATATCTAAATATTAAAACAGAAATACTAAATCTTCTGGAAAATAGAATAGGTAAGACTTTTGAAGACAATGGGGTAGGTAAAACTTCATGAACAAAACCTCAAATACACAGGAACTATCACAAAGAATCTCCATACAGGTTCTCATCCTATTAAAAACCTTTGGTATAGCAAAAGAAACCACCAACAGAATGAAGAGACAACAGTATGGGAAAGTTTTTCTAACTGTTCTTCAGACAAAGGACTACTATCTAAAACATAAAAAAACAGACACAAAAATCAGAACCCCAAATTTACAGGCCCAACCCAAAAATGAGCATCTAAAATGAACAGACACTTCTCAGATGAAGTAGAAATGGCAAATAAACATATAAAAAAAAAGTTCAACACCAATGGTCATTTGAGAGATGCACTTTAAAACAACACTGAGATTCCATGTCACTCCAGAAAGAATAGCTATTGTCAACAAGTCAACAGTAACAAATGCTAGCAGGGTTGTGGGGAAAAAGGAGCCCTTCTTCACTGTTGATGGGAGTGCAGACTGGAGCCACCACTACATAAGTCAATGTGGACAATCTTCAAAGACTGACACTAGAGGTTCCATTCAACCCAGCTATTCTCCTGCTTGCTTGTAAATTTCATATGGTTTTTCTGGTGTGAGAGACCCAAAGGGTAAATAAGGACCACCGTGTATAGTAGATACTGGGAAATGGGAAGAAAATGTTCAAATGAGAAGGCAAATAAGGGGAGGGGAAGGCAACAAGTGACAAGAAAAAAAAATAGAAGGAAAAAATGGAAACAAACAGAGAAAGGGGGCTAAAGGGAGGGTAGGAGAAGGTGGGAAAAAAAAAGAAGAATCAGGATATAAGCATGTTCAGCCTGGAAGATAGCTCAGCGGCACAAGCACTTGTCTGGTAAGCACAAGGTCTTCAGTACCAAAAAAGAAAAGAAAAGGAAAAGAAATAAACACAAGATATATCATGTACAGTTCCCAAATTCCTAATGATGAATGTGATCATGTTTATCTAAAATGAACCAATAAAAATTTAAATGCAAATAAAACAAGGAAAACAGCATAGTTCTTAAGCCAGTTTATTGTGTAAAAAGTCATTTACTATTATAATATCTAACCTCTCTTGGGTTCTACAATCAAAAAAAAATTTTGTACAAACAAAACTTCACAGGAAAAACCAAAACAGCTACAGTCAAGCTTTGATAGAACATTTTTCTATCAAAGAAAAGAACAGACAATATTTGATGAGTTCAAAGTTTTTGTGGACCATTTCATGCACAACTATCTTCCTATTCCCTTGAAGCAGATTGACACAAGACCACATTAGCAGCATTTCTGCCATAATCTCATACAAAAAAAAAAAAAAAAAAAAAGCCAACTGCCTTTGATGAGGTTTTTTATTATTTACTCATTTTTTTGTGGTACTGAGGAGCAAACTTGGAACCATGCACTTGCTAGGCAGGTGTTTATGCCACTGAGCTATATCCTTGGGCCTTTATCATGAGTTTTTAAACACTGTTAACTTCTTACATTTGCTTTATTTGGCTTTTGTTAGGTGTTGTTGCTTTTGCTTTTTCACTGGCCAGTGCTCCTTTCTATAAACAAATGTGGGAGGCATTTAACTATGAAGGATTTTATTTAGAAAGGCAGCCAATGCAGTAGGTCTGACTGCAATTGCAAGCTGGCAGGAACAGGTTTCACTCATCCTCTACTCTGTTTACTTAGAATATATCAATCCCTTCCAGAGACAGACTCTGGGGATAATGAATTCTGGGGATGGTGACTAGGAATACTTATTTGTAAAATTTAATAAGTTCTGGTTCTGAGCTGGCAGCACAGCTCAGAGGTAGTGTGCTTAACTGGCATGCCTGCATGCAGGTTGCCCTCAGCACAGAAGCAAGATTCTGCCCAGCCCGCTTTAGAAGGGCAGGAGACAAGGGCAACATGGGCTGAAGATGTCCAGACAGAAGATCATGGGAGGGCAGGACTTTTGTGGAGGGGATGCTGGAACAATAGGAAAGAAAAGGCAGGAGGAAGGCTGAGAAAGGGGAGGATCAGCTAAAAGGTACTGTAACGGTCAGTTCTGTTACCCTAAGGTCCAAATCTGTTCACATTCCTGTCACTGCTAACCATGCTACAAGAGTAAATTCTAAAAACGACAGCCGTCAGCTTTTTTCCATCCAACTCAGTTCAGTTACCTTACTTCATTTGAATCTCTCCACTTGGCCCAGTATCTGACAGACTCACAGAAAAGAGGAGGTGTTTAGAAAATGTAGCAGCCATTTCTTACACACTGGCCCTTTAGACCACTGTTACCTCTGTTTACCATTTCAACGCCAGCCCTCCAGGGCCACCGCCTCTTGTAACACACATAAGCTCCTCCTGTTTTGGCTGTGTTTGTGGGTTCCTGAGGCATAATCAATCGTTCCTTAGTCACACGGCTGTGGCCACTGGATGTGTCCCTAGCTGTTTGCTTTGGCAAACTCTAAACAGGAGTGGGGCAGCATTGTGGCCACAGTCTGCATGGGTTTTCTTCTGCACATGGCTCACCTTGCACGAGTTTCTGACTCAATAAAGAGTGCTGACTGACTGGCTGGAAGCGGATCTGTCCATGAACAAGGGTGCTGTGTCTGCGTGAGGGCACACAGCTACAGAGGGGTGCAGGTCATGGCTGATGTGAATCACCACAGATAAAGGACATTTAAAAATGTCGAACAGCTGGGGGGGTGCACGTGGGTAATCTCAGCATGAGGGAGGCTGAGGCAGGAGACTGCAGCAAGTTCAAGGGTAGCCAGGCTACATAGTGGGTTCAAGGCCACGCTGAACTATTTATAAGACCCTGTTTCAAAAAAAAAAAGTAGCACAAAACATTTTATTTATTGCCTTAGCTTAAAACTGTATTCAATATTTAGAAACAAATCCATTGTCCTGTGAATGTCATTATCATGACATAAAAAATAATACAAGTATGCTATTCAGTGATCTGGAACATCTTACAAACTGCTCAACTAAAAACAGTCTGTTTTATTGTCTGCGAGAACACTTGAACATGAGTGTGATATGCAGGGCAGAGATTCAGCTCTAGCCCACGCCCATGCCCACGCCCAGCTCCCTGTGGCCAAATGCCTGCCGCTCCACTGGGCGGGAGGCCCCATGACACACGGGGCCTTCCTCCTTGGGGCTTCCAGGCATTGCCTGGAAGATGGGATTTCAAATAGCAACTGCCTTGGTTTTACACACACACACACACACACACACACACACACACACACAATCTTATTGAGAATCATCTAGTTTTTCACAAATTCAGGCCTCAGCTCAAAAGCCCACTGATGGGCGAGGACTGCAGACATTCCAGCTGCTCCCCCTGTATTTCTCAAAATAGGACGTAGTTGGAAAATAATCAGCACTGGAAATTAGAGATGAAAGCCATGCTTTATTGTGAAATGGAAAGAAACTATTCAAAAGGAAAAAGGAACTAGAATGGGCAAAAGGGAAAAGAACAGTAGGGGAAAAAATGTGACTTAGTTATACCATTAGTGTCTCTTAGTGCATTAAAAAGGAAGGTTTGTGCTGATATCGATTAGAGAAACTCTGATGCCCATACTTGTACTCCGAGCAACGACTTTAATGATAATAATATGTCATGTATTAACTATTGCTATTCTCCTTTTTTTTTTTTGGCAGAACGGGGGATTGAACTCAGGCCCTTGCACTTGCCAGGCAAGCATTTATTCTACTGAGCCATCTCCCTGGCCCTCTCCTATTATTTAATAAGAAATTTTGTTTTATTTTTTCATAAAAATTTAAAAATAATAGTAAAATAAAATAAAAATACCAGGCCTATCTTAGCTTTCCAAAAAATACTTGAGGCAAGGTGTTTTCATTGTTTTGCTATAAAGTACAGCTGCATCATAAAACATACTCCTCCAGTGACCAAAGATGATACTTTAACTGTCCTATATGTACCTGTTGACTGGTAGATATTATTCCCTAGCAAGTTGATGGCTTACAGGAACTCTAATTTAAAGCAAGCTGCTATTACCTTTAAAGATTGTCTCTTCGTTACATAATTCTCAGACTGAAGCAACTTCTCATAATCTTCAAAAATCTGATGAAAAGAAAAGAAATTATCAGAGCACAGGAGCTGCAGAACGCTTAGCGAGAGTGTTGGGCTCTCAGCACGCCTCAGAAGCCGGGGTGCTCGGCAGCTGTCACCCTGACTGAGGAGGTCTCACTGTCACCATCCACCTCTGCCAAGACACTGTGAAATGTGGAGACCAAGGGAGACAGGAGACACACGTCTCTATTAATTTTAGTTCTACAAGTTACAAATTGCATTAAAAAATTGCATCATTTTGATCCTCCCAAATCATTCTGATAAACCATCTATTAAACCTCACTGTGTGCCATCTTTCAAGAAACCTTGACAAACAACTTGGGAAAATATTAAATACACTTAGGGCTTCACTTGTGACGCATAAAAAATCAGACTGCCAAGTTCTAGTGTGACCAGATGAGGTGTGAGTGACAGTGGCCGCCTGGTGGAGTCCTTCTGTGCTCACAGAAGGCAGGGGCTCTGGTGCACGGGGCTCGCTGTGTCCTGACAAGGGCATCAGTCCTGGCAGAGGCCTTCAGACAAAAAACAAAGTCTTAGAAATGATTTCTACTTACAGTGTCATAATTTTGTTCTAAGAAGTCTGCTACCAACACTTTATGTCTGGTTAATAAATCCTGAAAGAGAATAATGAAGTAAAACAAAATTATTATGGCAAGTAGATTTTATAATCTCTTAAATTTTACAATAAGTCTTTTTGGGTTGCAAAGATAGCTTGGTGGTCTAAGTGCCTGCCTGGCAAGTGTAAGGACCTGGGTTGGATCCCTGTTACCACACACTCTTCTGGCCCCCAAAACCCCCTCAGGTGTGGTGGCACATGCCTATAATCCCAGCACTGGGGAAGCTGAGACAGGAGGATCACAACGAGTATGAGCTGCATAGAAAGACCTTGTACCAAATAAATAAAAGATTTTTAAAATTTTTTTAAAAAATCTTTTCTTCTAAAGTTTGCTAACTCTATTCACCTGAAACACATAAAACATGCAAAAGAATACTTTCACTCATACTACAAAATTACTTCCATTCCTACTTTAGTTTAGGATATGAAATGCATTTCTTCCAGATTAAAAATAACAACAAAAACATCTACAGTCTTTTTTTAAATCCATATTATTGTTAGTTTTATAAAATAATTTAACTTTTGAAACAAATAGAGCCTGAGAAACAAGTCAGTAGCGTACCTCTTCAAGCCATTCACTCCATGCTTCAATTACAGTATAACAATAATAATTTTAATACAGTTTGTAAAGATTTTCAAATGGCATTAGTAAGTAATCTTTTTTTATTTCATAATTTTCAGATACGATCTTGTGATCTTGCCAGGGCTGGTCGGGAACTCCTGAGCTCAAACAGTCCTGCCTCTGCCTCCTCTGTGCTGGGACCACAGGCGGATTGCCAGCCACAGCCACAGCCCCGGCTCTGTTCTGTTCTGTTCGTTCTTTCTTTCTTTCTTTCTTTCTTTCTTTCTTTCTTTCTTTCTTTCTTTCTTTCTTTCTTTCCTTCCTTCCTTCCTTCCTTCCTTCCTTCCTTCCTTCCTTCCTTCCTTCCTTCCTTCCTGGTGATACTGACTTTAAACAAGAGACAAGAGTTCTGAATGACTTAAAATTTTATCTCACAAATGAATTTCATAGATTTTAACCTTTCATTTTTCTCTAATTTCATTTATTTATTTATTTACTTATTTATTTTGAGACAGGGTCTTGCTACGTAGTACAGATTGGCTTTAAACTCCCTTATGTAACCCAGGCTGGTTTCAAACCCACCTCTGACTCCTGAGTGCTGGGCTCACAGGTGTGTGCCACTACACCTAGCGCCCCTCCCCATTTTCAAATGATGTTCTAGGACTCTGGAAAGCACAGGAATGACACTGAGGAGTGTCATCTATATCATCCTGCTCACTGGTAAACTGGTTGTGAGCACCAGTGCGGTATGCGAGTAGCACAAAGCGCCCTTTCACAGTCGGAGAGAAGCAATCCTATCTTATTACCAATACAGACATGGAGAAAGTGGCATAACAGCATGAAGGGACTTCACACAATCTTCAGCTCACACCTAAATTATATCCTTATTTTACTTTAATGCTGAAAGAAAACAGCATACCTAATCCCTTTTATAAGTTTAGAGCCTAATTCTTTGCCCAGGTACTCTGCAAAATTTAATTAAAAACAAGTATTTTAAAGTTTTTCAAAATAAAGTCTTATACTTTAATACATACTTAATTAAAGCTTCCCCAAAGCTTGTGGAAGACATAGAAAATAGTTTCACAGGCGAAAGGCAGGCAGCAGGCATGTAAAACCCATTTCTATTTCATTTTATTTTTTAAGGGGCATAAATGGATGTACTAGGCAGAATTTAAAGTGCACGTTCAAATATATAGAATGCAGGCCCTCGAGAGAGGTGCATTACAGTTTGGAGCCAGGAATATCTGTGTATTTCTGGGGGTGGAGCTCTATGGAATCTGTTGGTTTAGCACAGAAGATACCAGCCCATTTTACACAAGAAAGGATGAAGTTCTTCATAGGAGAAAACCAGGGCCAAGTCTTTTTCTTTAAAAAAAAAAAAAAAAAAAAAAAAAAAAAAAAAAGAGTGATCTAAGATATTTTGCTTAAAAATGCTTTTAGAAGTCTTTGTTTGTCTGTCTTAAGGTTAAGTTTATCACCTACACTAAGTTGTGGGCTTACAGTATTCTTACAGGACTTGGGTGTGATGGGCCTGGAATAACAGCAGATAAACAGGTGGGGGTGGGGTACGGACGTGCTTGGCTTGGGGTAACTTTCGATCCTCAAGCTGTAGTCCTCTTAGTACAATTTTAAAGTAGTTCTTCTGTCTTACCACAGTCCCGTCCTGGGGCTTTGGTCTCTATTCTTAGGGATGCAGAGAGCCCTAAGATCCGTCTTCTCTGGTTGCTCCTCATGGGGGGCTGACCCTGCCCACACAAGGGTCAAAACTTTCTCTCTGACTCATCACAAAGAGGCACAGAAATAGTGCCTTTGTTGACAATCACAAGCCACTGATGCTTATGCTCTACTTTGTAACTGTGTTAAATAAGCAAGGACCAAATATTAAAGGTAAAATACTGGTGAATAAAGGTCCCAGGAAGTTGCCACTGTTTTAATAACAAGAAAAAGTAAAATAGTTAAAGCATTTTATAACTTCTTGGTAGTTTATTTTTAATTGACAGTATATGAAACATGTACAATTTAAGGTTCTTAAACACACGTATACTGCGCAATCACTTGGATTGTTTTCTCAGGGCTCAGGATTTAACCGAGGGCCTCACACGCGAGACGAGTACCATACTGCTGAGCTACACCTTCAGCCCTTGGATCAGATCTTAAAGGTCCCAAAACCACATCCTGAAGGCTTGGTCCCCAAGGAGCAGTTCACACAACGCCAGGTCAAAGCACACTCAGTCTCTCTTTCTGCCTCTCTTGCTCAACAGCCTGATTTATCCACAGAGTGCTGCCCTTTAGTCCTCCAGCACCATTTCTCTCTTTGTGGCCTTTAGTAAATGAAGCTGCTTTTCCCTTACCTTTGAGGATACACTTCGCAGCCTTTGCTTGCCCTGCAAAACAACTTGGAATCTATTGGTTGGATCTGCCTCATAGTTACAAAACCTTTGTAGCTGTGAGTCAAACTAACATTCAAGTTGTTTATTTCAGAAATTTTGTCACAGATACAGAAACCTACCATGTGCCCCAGTGGATCTAACTAGGATGCTATTATCTCACAATGTGTGTGTGTGTGTAAAGACCAAACCTACTCTTACTAATTTCCAAAATATAACCTGGCATAGTGGTGCATGCCTGTAATCCCAGCACCTGGGAGTCTGAAGCAGGGGCATTTCTGTGAGTTCAAGGCCAGCCTGACTATATAACAAAACCCTACCTCAGAATGACAATAATAAAAAGTTATTAATTATAGTCATCAGGTTGTAAAATGAACTTTTTAAACTGATTTCTTCATGCTAACTGAAATTTTACATTTTCTAACCAACATCTTCTCACCCTGACCCTAGCCCCACCTCTCTGAGATAATTTTTTTAGCCTCCAGATATGAGTGAGATTATGAGGTATTTATCTTTCCATGCCAAGGGTTTTCATTTGATATTATGTCCCTTAGGTTCATGAATATTGTCACAAATGACAGTATTTCTTTTTTGTGGGGGGCTCTTTTTGAGATAGAGTTTCACTATACAGCTCAGGCTGGCCTTGAGCTCACTTTGTAGCCCAGGCTGGTCTCAAACTCACAATGATCTTCCTGCCTCAGCCTCATGAGTGCTGGGATTACAGGTGTGCACCACCATGGCTCCCTTAGCATTTCCTTCTTTTTTATGGCTGAACAGTATTTCACTGTTTATGTATTTAATTAATTCAGCTGTCAATGGATATTTAGGCTAATTCCATATCTTGGCTTTACTGTGAATAATGCTGAAATGTCTACACTTACTAACTTTGTTTTCTTTGTAGTAGGACTGCTTGATAACATGGTAGCTGTATTTTACATTTTTGAGGAACCACTATACTATTTTCCATGATGGCAGATTAATTTACATTCTAACCAACAATATACAAAGATTTCATTTCTCCACATGCTTTCTCACCATCACTTACTATCTTTTTAGGGCAGTAGTGTACTAAGGGTTAAATCCACAGGTGTTCTACCACTGAGCAGCATCCCAGCTGGTTTTATTTCTAAGTCTTGGCCAGCATGGTGGCATACACCTATAATTCCACCACTTGGGAGGCCTGAAGCAGAAGGATAATGAACTCAAGTCTAGTCTGGGCAATTCAGTGAGACCCTGTTTCAGAGAAGAGCTAGAGATGTAACTCAATACAAAAGGTCTGAGTTTGGTCCCCAGTACAGGGATGTGCAGTGGGGACAGAGTCTCACGTATGCTGTCTGGCTGTCCTTGAACTTGGTATTCTTCTGCCTCAGCCTCCTAAGTAGCTTTCATCTTTTTTTTTTTTTTTTTTAATAATAGGCATTGTAACAGAAGTGAGGAGTTACCTAGTGGTTTTAAGATTTTCAAGTTAAGAAACAGTGGGAATAGGCCTTAATTTCCTACTACTAATCATCACACAATTTGATCAGTGACTGCAGCTACCTTTGCAAATGTAATACTTTTTCTCAGTGGAACAGAGCACTCAGAACTGCTCTACCAGAACTGGAGTCTTAAAATGGAGAAACTACCAGAGTTCCATTTCTAACATGTTTAAAGTCTGATTCAAATTAGTTCCTGTATCAGGGGATCCCTGAGAGAGTAAAGTAGCTCCATGGTAGTTTGGGGCTTCCCTAAGAGGATATTGGAGATGACTAGTTTGCATCCCTCCCCCCAGTAGGATCAGGGATTTTCTGAGTTGACTCAGGAGAGAGGGAGTCTTGTTATAGGCTGCTGCCCTGGGGACTGTGACACCTGTGCAAATCTCCATTTAGTAACAGTGTCTGCCGTCAGGGTAAGTACTGGGCCCTTCCTCACTCCAGCAGAACACAGAAGACCACTGCTGCCCAGAAAGGCTGTTGAACAGTTATTCCAAAGAAAGAGAAATTGAGAGTTCTGTTACAGCTTGAATCCTGAAATTCCAAAAAAAAATTAAAATCCTATAATAAGGGCTGC